GGCATCTGAGTAGGGCCACGCAGCAGTCGACTGCTCTTATCTATGCATGACGCTCGACTGGAGGCGGGAACGAAAATCCAGCTGCTCGAATGGTTTAAATTTGGCGTGGGTGCGAAAAGAGGGATGATATGAACATTAAGTTACCAATAAACACGAGGCATGCAGTGGTGGCGAAAGTTCCTGAACTGATTTGCATAGCAACTAGGATATGTTTAAAAAACAACTTCCAAGCCCTTCAACAACGAAGTGTTTTCATGAACAGAATCCTTCCAAAATATGACGAAACACGGCACGATGTTAAGAGAAATGCGTAATTATTAACCTAGCGTAAGTAGAAAACATAGCGTCGGGCAAAGTCATTTTTTCGTTTTCGCATGCTTTACATTCCAGTTGACCCATAAACATGTCTTTCTATGGCTATCACAGCATTTAAAAAAGAGGACTGTCTCGCGTAAACGCATTTCTACCTCGCATCACAACATCGTCCATGCCGAGACGCCTCGGTGTTCAGGACGGGGCCGCCACTGTTCTCTAGCGGCGGGCCGTTCCTTCCGCGTCGCGGCGGAAGCGCTTGTCTCCGCGCCGCGTGCCGGCCCCCCTCAGCACGGTTCAGCGGAGCGGGCCCGCCCGCCAGCCGATTTATTGCAGGTGATTCGGCGCCGTTTCGCGGGGCAATTCCGGACTCAATTTATGATTTCGGCCGAGCCGCACGCCAAACCCAATATTCAAAACCCGACTGCTGGGCGGGCGCGGTTGTCGGCAGACTGCCGTCTGGCCGCGCGGCGGAGCACTGCGTCGCGGCGACCGCCGTAAGACGGCCGGTGTTGCCGCTGGAGGGCGGTAGCCACAGGCACCGCTGCTGGGGCGGCAGCCGCAGGCACGGCAGCCGCAGGCATCGCCGCTGGGGAGGCAGCCCCAGGCACCACCTCTGGGGAGGCAGCCCCAGGCACCACCTCTGGGGCGGTAGCCACAGGCACCACCTCTGGGGCATACAGCCGCAGGCACCGCCGCTGGAGGGCGGTAGCCACAGGCACCGCTGCTGGGGCGACAGCTGCAGGCACCGCCGCTGGGGCAGGCTGCCACGTAGCCCCGACATCACTAACGCGACGCGGATTTCACCGGAAACGTGGGCGCATCGAAAACGTACCAGGGACATTGGAGTAAGGACAGGGTTTTGTAGTATGTGGACGCAAGCCGCAATGCTTTTCAGTACCTGCGTATTGGGATGTGTCGGTTTTAGTCAATGTCACAAGTTAAACAAAGAGCTCGACTGCCGCTGATGATGATGTTAACCTCTCACAGGCTTCGGATGTGACCGGCACTCGGCACTCACTGTCGGTGTCCGGACGAGGCATGCTGTCCCATGCGCGAGGCATCGGCTGATCCGCGGTCAAGCGCGGCAGCACGCCAAACATGGCGGAATAATGCTGAGCCGTCAAATTGAACTACTGAGAGGGTCAGCTCGCCACGCGACAAGTGTCTGGAGCGGCTCTTAACGACGCACGCCAAACAAATCACCTTCATTTCTAAAGACGCTTGTTTTGTTGGCGAAGCTCCCACAACGGCGACCGATGTTTCTAACACCCGGCCCAGCCCCGGCCCCGGCCCCGACGCCGGCCACCATCGCCTGGGTGTCGAGCGGCTAGACGTCCTCCGCCGAGGGTCAGCGCCCGGCCCGTTGGTCACCAGCCGCTCCATCCGCTGTCGGCCGGCCGATGGTGTTCAATGAGGCCGTGTTTTCGCCGGCCGTCCGGCCGCGAAGCCACACAGCCGGCGCCAGCGGGCATTTATTGACCAGCAGACGTCGGCGGACGGGAGGCCCGGCGGTGCGAAGCCCTCTGATGTTGAAGATGAGAGCCGCCTGATGCAAACAGCGCACAGATCGAGCGAGGACGCCGTCGAGCGACAGAGCCGAAACAGAAACCTAATGGCATCCGGGTGCCGTGGTGGCAATGACACCACGTTCAGTCTGTCAAGCCAAATGCGACAGCCGACGGCGGCCGGCTTCATTGCACCGCCAACAACGCGACGATCATGGGCTGTACAAGAGATATGATGCCCTCTCACAGCGAGCCGCGGCTGATAGGGCCTCAAATGCCACCAAGAACCTTAATTTCAAGCTCTATGCTGCCCTAGATGTCTGCGTCCGGAGGCGCTCCTGCTCGGCTCCAGTCGTCTCCGCTGACGCTGCGGCCGCACCAGGCGCTCGCTTCAGGCGTCCGGTCTGCGCGGGCTCTCGTGGACGGCCCCCGCGGACGGCCCTTGCCCGGTCTGTGCGATTTGTATCGGATGACCCTCGTCCGGTCTGCGCGCGCTCCCGTGGACGGCCCCTGCGGACGGCCCCCGTGGACGGCCCCCGCGGACGGCCCCCGCGGACGGCCCCCGTGGACGGCCCCCGTGGACGGCCCCCGTGGACGGCCCCCGCGGACGGCCCCCGCGGACGGCCCCCGTGGACGGCCCCCGCGGACGGCCCCCGTGGACGGCCCCGCGGACGGCCCCC